TTTCTACACATGCACAGAAAAACTTCTGGAAGGATATAAAGATGAGTGGGGTATAAGAGAAAGTGTTCCCCTTTATGTATTTTATTCTTTTGTAGAGTTATCTATAGTATAATCTTGATTCATCCTACCCCCACCAACTGAAAATAGGAATATACTGAGGAGGTAATCTGTGATAGTAGTGAAGACTTTGAGTTGTCTTGTTAAATGAATGAGACTTAGGTTCCAAAACTGGATGTGCTTATATAGTACTAGCTATGCTAACCTTGGGCAAGTTTCTCTTTTTGCAGTTTCTTTTCCTAGCTAAAGTTATTAGAAAGATAATCAAATGAATTACACAGTCCAGGCTGATGATACATGTTGTCAATCACTTTATCACAGTCATTAGAAATCTCAACACTGGCCGGGTACGGTGGCTCACCCTGTAATCCTAGCACTCTGGGAGGCCGAAGCAGGCAGATCGTTTGAGCTCAGGAGTTCCAGACCAGCCTGAGCAAGAGCAAGACACCGTCTCTACCAAAAATGGAAAAAATTAGCCAGGCACCTGGTGGCTCATGTCTGTAGTCCCAGCTACTCAGGAGGCTTAGGCAGGAGGATCGCTTGAGCCCAGGAGTTTGAGGTTGCTGTGAGCTAGGCTAACGCCACAACATTCTAGCCCAGGCAACAGAGCAAGGACTCTCAGATGGCTATATGAGGATGGTTTTATATCAGGATTCTCACACCTGATGATTAGAGACATTGAGCAATTTTTTACATGTTTGGCCATTATTCTGTCTTATTCTGCAAGGTTTCTGTTCATGTCCTTTGCCCACTTTTTAATGGATTGTTTGATAGTTTCTTGTTGATTTTCCTAAGTTCTATATAGAGTCTAGTTATCAGGCCTTTATCAGATGTGTAGCATACAAATATTTTCTCCCATTCTGTAGGTTGTCTATTTGCTCTAATGATAGTTTTCTTGGCTGTGCAGAAGCTATTTAATTTGACTAGGTCCCATTTATTTATTTTTGTTGCTGCTGTGATTGCCTTTGGGTCTTCTTCTTTGCCTAGGCCCATGTCTATAATTTCCCCAACATTTTCTTCTAGAATTCTTATGGTTTCATGTCGTAGGTTTAAGTGTGTTATCCATCATGAGCTGATTTTGTGAGAGGTGAGAATGTGGATCCAATTTCAATCTTCTTCATGTGGCTATCCAATTTTCCTAGCACCGTTTATTGAACAAGGATTCTTTCTCCCAGTGTATGTTTTTGTCTGCTTTGTCAAAGATTAGATAACTATATGAGGATGGTTTTATATCTGGGTTCTCAGTCCTGTTCCAATGTTATATGTCTCTGTTCTTGTGTTAGTCGTTTGCTGTTTTGGTTACTATAGCCTTGTAGTATAACTTGAAGGCTGGTAAATTGATGCCTACTAATTCATTCTTTTTTCAGTAGATTGCTTTGGCTATACAGAGTCTTCAATATCTTCTGATGAATAAAAATTAATTTTTGATGAAATCCAATTTATCTATTTTTTCTTAGATTGCTCATCTATTAGCGATGTGGATTTATACCTGTGCTTTCTTCTAGTAGTTTTATAGTTTTAGTTTTTGAATCTAAATCTTTTTCTTTTTTTGCTTTTTTTTTTTTTTTTTTGAGAGAGAGTCTTGCTCTGTTGCCTGGGCTAGAATGTTGTGGCGTTAGCCTAGCTCACAGCAACCTCAAACTCCTGGGCTCAAGCGATCCTCCTGCCTAAGCCTCCTGAGTAGCTGGGACTACAGACATGAGCCACCAGGTGCCTGGCTAATTTTTTCCATTTTTGGTAGAGACGGTGTCTTGCTCTTGCTCAGGCTGGTCTGGAACTCCTGAGCTCAAACGATCTGCCTGCTTCGGCCTCCCAGAGTGCTAGGATTACAGGGGTGAGCCACCGTACCCGGCCAGTGTTGAGATTTCTAATGACTGTGATAAAGTGATTGACAACATGTATCATCAGCCTGGACTGTGTAATTCATTTGATTATCTTTCTAATAACTTTAGCTAGGAAAAGAAACTGCAAAAAGAGAAACTTGCCCAAGGTTAGCATAGCTAGTACTAATATAGCACATCCAGTTTTGGAACCTAAGTCTCATTCATTTAACAAGACAACTCAAAGTCTTCACTACTATCACAGATTACCTCTCAGTATATTCCTATTTTCAGGTTGGTGGGGGGTAGGATGAATCAAGATTATACTATAGATAACTCTACAAAAGTAATAATATACATAAAGGGGGAACACTTTCTCTTTATATCCCACTCATCTTTATATCCTTCCAGAAGTTTTTCTGTGCATGTGTAGAAAAATACGTATAGGTCTTTTAAGGAGGAGAAGCCATTTCCCAAAGTGAAATCAGATTATGTGTACTCTGCTGTTTTTTTTTTTGTTTGGTTTTGTATGTCATATGCCTCACTGTGTATCAGTATATACAGATTTCCCCCTGTTGAATGTCAGCATGCTTATTGAGTTGTGTGGATCCAATTATATGGTATAACTAAGATCCTTGTTGATGAGTAAGGTGTTAACTCTGCCCAGTGTAACAGTTTTTTTGGGTTTTTTAAAGTATTTTGAGGCTGGTCCGATGGTAGTGGGTTATCAGAACTTATTCACATTAGTGTCACTAACGTTGGTATTCAACCCCCCCACTGCTAAATTTGACTGGCTTTAAAAAAAAAAATATTAAAAAAATAAATAAATAAAGTATTTTGACATTGTCCAATGGTTTGCTATTAATTATTTCTTGTGCCTAGTTCACGTTGGAAAAATTTTGGTACTTGCCTTAGTCATTTTTGTGATGCTGTAACTGAATACCTGAGATTGGGCAATTTCCAATGAATAGAAATTTATTTGGCTCTCAGTTCTAAAGGCTGGGAAGTCCAAGATTGAGGAGATGCATCTGGTGAGCACTTTCTACATTATCCCATGGTGCAAGGTCAAAAGAGCACGTAAGAGAGAGCTAAACTTGCTTTCACATTAAGCCAACTCTCTTGATAAACTAACCCCATTCCTGAATTAGGACATTAATCCATTCGTGAGGGCAGAGTCCTCGTGGCCTAATCACCTCATATTTGGCCCCACCTCAACATTGTTGCATTAGGGACTACGTTTCCAATGCTTGAATTTTGGGGAACACATTCCAACCCATAGCAGTTAAAATTATATTTTTGTTCTTGTCTAAATTATTAATCTGAATTGATATTTAGTCCCATAGTTAATTCATTGTAAAGAATGTTTTCTGGCATATTTTATGCTTCATGTGCTAGTGACTTTTGTTCTATTAATAATTTTTGTGCCTAACTTTCAGCTAAGTAATTACATATTTGATTCTAAATGATCTACCACTGGAAATGTTAAGTAGAGTTAATATGCATGTTTTGCATCAGGCTTATACCACTGGGCATCATATTGGAAGCATTGAATTGAGTGGAATAGTATGTTTTAATTTTTCTGTATAGATAAAAGAATGTAAGTATGCCAATCATGTATAGAGTAGAATATCTTTGTAATTAATTTACTAATTCTGTCATTAAAAGGTGTTTTAATAGAAAAAATTTTCATCTGAAGATTGCCTCCTATTTAATTGAAGTCTATGGATAAGGTGTTATACATATAATCATTTTTAATATATAATTAAATGATAATAGAGGTTAATGTAATATTTTTGAATTAAATATTTCCTTAGGAAAATGTTCCGCTGCTGCCCTAGATGTTCTCGCAAATGTGTATCGTGATGAGCTGCTGCCGCATATTTTGCCCCTTTTGAAAGAATTGCTGTTTCATCATGAATGGGTTGTTAAAGAATCAGGCATCTTGGTATTAGGAGCAATTGCTGAAGGTAAGTTTAAGTCTAATTTGAATTGTAAAGTTCATTGGTGCTAATAAGGCTAGGGTACTTTAAGGAACTGTTACTCTATAAAACAAAGACTTCCCTCTTGAATTCACGTGCTGTGATGAGTGTGGTATAAAGAAGACTATGATGCATATTAACTTTAAAAAGGATAATTTGAATACAAAAACTATCTTAGGATAAGTTTCTACTTTGAATCAGTTAACTATTGTTAAATAGTCATTCTGACTTCTAACTTCAGCCAGATGTTTTACAAATGTTTTTATTACTATAATGGGAACAGAATGATAGAACTCTGATGTCTGAAGCATCCCCATTGCTAGAAAAATAACTTTATTCCCTAGGTAAGTATAGGAATCCTGATAAGGCAAGAGTATCGTCATTCTCTGTAAGGGTTATTGACATCTGTCTGCAAGAAACTGAAACACTTTACAGGTATTTCTGAAAACCATAATTTATGTAGCAGACATAAATGAGATCCTAATCCTAAGATACCTAGGAACAGTTGGCTCTAATTTCAGATTTTTAACATAATTTTGGCATATATTTTACTATATTTATAGTAGTGGAAATATTCGGAATATTTTTCATGATAATTATATCATTTTAGTATTCAGCTGAAATGATTTTAGTCAAATTTTAGTGCTTCGAAAGATTCCTGTTGTTCTTTTCTAGGTTGCATGCAAGGCATGATTCCATACCTGCCTGAGCTCATTCCTCACCTTATTCAGTGCCTCTCTGATAAAAAGGCTCTTGTGCGTTCCATAACATGCTGGACTCTTAGCCGCTATGCACACTGGGTAGTCAGCCAGCCACCGGACACGTACCTGAAGCCATTAATGACGGAACTGCTAAAGCGCATCCTGGATAGCAACAAGAGAGTACAAGAAGCTGCCTGCAGGTGGGACAGATTCATAACAAAGTGTTCATTGTGGGAGTAGGTAATTCAGTGAGAAATTAATTTTCAACCTTACGATGGATGTTGGTATTAAACCATTAATCAAGTATTTCTTAATGGAAATTTTTTCAGCTATGTCAAAGTTTAGTTTTCCTTGGTAAAGTTTTTGCAGGACTGATCTGTAGTTTTGAGGTTTGCACATTAGCATATTTTATACATTTTGTTTGGGAAAAATTTGTTATTTGCAGCCTTGACCTGATGATTTTTTTTTTTTTGAGACAGAGTCTCACTTTGTTGCCCAGGCTAGAGTGTGAGTGCCATCGCGTCAGCCTAGCTTACAGCAACCTCAATCTCCTGGGCTCAAGTGATCCTATTGCCTCAGCCTCCCTAGTAGCTGGGACTACAGGCATGCACCACCATGCCCAGCTAATTTTTTGTCTATATATTTTTAGTTGCCCAATTAATTTCTTTCTATTTAGTAGAGATGGGGTCTTACTCTTTCTCAGGCTGGTTTCGAGCTCCTGACCTTGAGCCATCTGCCCGCCTTAGCCTCCCAGAGTGCTAGGATTACAGGCATAAGCCACTGCGCCCGGCCAACCTGAGGATTTTATAATTCTAAATGTGACTAACTAGACATTAGTCATTGCTGTTTCTTCCTCAACTCATTTTTTTCCCCACTCAATGGCTATGATATTATAACAGAATCATATTTTACCATTAAGAATGGTATTTTAATATACCATTAAATATATAATTTAATTATAACAGAATCATATTTTACCAGATTCATTGAGGATGAATCTGTTCTTGTGTGATGAGCAAAGCTTTAAAGCACTGAAAGCTTGTTTTACTTTACAGGCAGCTTTACTTGTAATGTAAATCAGAATAGGTATAATACATATGTTTTTATTACATTATTTTTAAATGTTCACAATTTGATAAATGAAAAATTAGAAAAGTCTTATCACGGCTGTCGGCTAAAGTCGACATGCACGTTCATCTGTGGCTATCGACTATAGTCAATGCTCGTACCAAAGTGGTTAAGCAATCCTCCTGCCTTAGCCTTCCAAGTAGCTGGAGCTGTAGGCGTATGCCACCATGCCCAACTAATTTTTCTATTTCTCATTTTACTTGAGCCAGTCTTGAACTCCTGGCCTCAATCAATCCTCCTGTCTTGGCCTCCCAACGTATTAGGATTATGAGAGTGAGCCACCATCCACAGCCCTTATCTCTTTATATCAGACCAACAGCTGCTGTCATTACTGGAAATATTCCAGTTTCCTGGAACAATGTTCTAAAAGGGCCTGTTCCTTTATAAAACTCTTAACTTTTCAAGTAGATTTGCTCTTACTATTGACCTTTTTGAGACAGAGAGTCATTTTATTGCCCGAGTTAGAGTGCAGTGGTGTCATCATAGCTCACTACAACCTCAAACTCCTGGGCTCAAGCCATCCTCCTGCCTTAGCACCTGTAGCTGGAACTACAGGTGCCAGCCACCATGCCCTGGCTAATTTTTATATTTCTTGTAGAGAAAGGGGTCTTGCTATGTTGCCCAGGCTGGTCTCAAGCTCTCGGCCTCAGACAGTCCTCCTACCTCAGTCTCCCAAAGTGCTGGGATTACAGGCATGAACCATTATGCCCAGCCAACACATTTTAATTTTAGATTTTACCATTGTAGTTAAGCAGATGCCCATGGATGATACCTCTTGGAAAGGAAGAAATGATGAGAAAAGGGGAAGAAATAATAAAAATAAGAATCTAGTGTGATGAGGCAAGGTGGTAGGCATGTAAATTGTAAATAAATATTCTGTAAGCAATTGGCTTAGTTTCATTTGGTTTTTTATTTTTTATCATTGCCTCAGTTTCTACATCTGTATTGGCTTAGTTTCTTATCTCTATTATAAACTATTCCTTTTACATACCAGTAAGTATTTTATTCATTTATTTAAATTATAGTGCCTTTGCTACCCTGGAAGAGGAGGCCTGTACAGAACTTGTTCCTTACCTTGCTTATATACTTGATACCCTGGTCTTTGCGTTTAGTAAATACCAACATAAGAACCTGCTCATTCTCTACGATGCCATAGGAACATTAGCAGATTCAGTAGGACATCATTTAAACAAACCAGTAAGTATCTGTGAATTAACTATTATGGAAAATAACATATAGCATTCTTACAATCAGTAGGTTGATATATTTGGTAAAAATGTTTTGGGAAATAGGAACAATTAGTGTTTGCTGCTATAAGAATGTAGATCTTATAAAGGCAGCAAGTATATTCCTTTCAAGTAGTGTTTTTAAAAATAAGTATATGATTTGTGTGGAAATTACAGCAGCATCTAACATGAATACCCCAGTACTGTGTAGAATGATTAAAGGAAAGGGGATAAAAATTTTATACTGTGGATTTCTACTTTTACTTCATTCCACGTGTTTTTGTATTTGCCGCCATAGCTTTAGAATACCACATCTAGACATCTCCATTTTCTCACCAGAACATACAAGTATGGGGAGTACACTACATAAAATAATTGGGATAATAGTTTTAAAATGCTAACTAGTGGTAGAGCAGAAGTACCTTGTCACTGGTAGTGTTGAGAGTAGAAGAAGATGAATTTAAAGAGGATTTAAGTGATATTAGAATTTTAATATAACTCAGTTCCATGCTGAAGAATAGAAAGATTTGATATATGTGGTTGCTATATTAAAAGTCTTAAAAATTGTTTTTAGTTTTAAAGTTATACTTAAAATTTGGTGCAAGACTATCAGTTTGTAAGTTTGCTTTGGTGTTGCTTTTTGGTTGGGTTTTGTTGGGGGAGGATTGTGTTTTCTGACTGCCTTTAGACTCTGTGCCCCTAGGTTATGTGACGACTAAACTCCATGACTAAGAATTCTGTCACTGGAGAGTAAAACTTACACAGATCTTTCTTGATTGTGACTTAACAATCAAGTAGTACATTTTTATTTAGTGATGTGTTTATATACATTTTGTTTCAAAAAAGATAAAAGAGTTAAAATATAGAACAAGGTTATGTAAATAAAAAAGGCAAAAGAAAGGAAAATTTTTACTAGCGCAAAGAATGAGTGCTTGTTTACATATGATAATAGAACTTTATATATTTTTCGTTATTGTAAATAGGAATATATTCAGATGCTAATGCCTCCACTGATCCAGAAATGGAATATGTTAAAGGATGAAGATAAAGATCTCTTCCCTTTACTCGAGGTATGCTGGGCTGATTATTTAGGTAATCTAATGGTGCATTTCACCAAAAACACATGTTTGAATCCACAATGGGCATGTGATAAGAAAAGTGTTAATAAATGTATATTCTGAATAGTTTCTGTTCAAATGCCCAATAAATGTACAACTTCTTACTTTAATTATGATACCTCTATACTAAGAAATACTGTTAAATAGAAAAAGCATAATGAACATAGTATACCTTTATAATAAATAGACAAAGGCTTATACATGTTCTCTAACTTTACTTAATTGATAAATTATAGTTTAAATTTCATGTTATCTATTTTATATATATAAACGATGTACTCACACACACATGTGGTAAAGTAATATTGGGACTTGCTGCCAATAAAAGAGAACTTTATATCTTTTCTGTCTAATGTTTTTTCCTTGCATAATTTTTTAACTCAAAGCAAATTTTATATGTTCAAGTAACTGAATATACTATAAAATGTGATAACTTAAACCTAGTTGAATTGACATTGATGGTCAATTTAGTCATTTTCGTTCTTTGGTCCCCATTATTTCAAGGGTCACCAACTTCTGCCATGGATTTTTCTTAGTCAAAGAAGTTAAGTTTTCTGTGACAAAGAGCAATGACTAATTCTAGGCCAGACGAAACAAGTAGCATCAGGATGGCTCATTTTTTATATATATATATATATGTATACAGTCAGTCCCTCAGTATCCTTGGGGAATTGGTTTCCAGGAATCCCTGTGGATACCAAAATCCGAAGATGTTTGAGTCCCATATAAAGTGGCATAGTATTTGCATGTAATCTACACACATCCTACCAGTACACCTTAAATCATCTCTATATTATTTATGCCTAATATAATGTAAATGTTATGTAAATAGTTGTTATACTGTACTTTAAATTTTTATTTATTTTTTTGAGACAGAGTCTCACTCTGTTTCGCAGGCTAGGGTGCAGTGGTGTCACTGTAGCTCACTACAACCTCAAACTCCTTGGTTCAAGCAATCCTCCTCTTCTTGAGTGGCTGCGACTGTAGGCACACGCCACCACACCTTGATAATTTTTCTGTATTTTGTACAGACAGGGTTTTACTCTGTTGCCCAGACTGTGTTTTCAATATTTTTGATCCAAGGTTGGTTGAACCCATGGATGCATAACCTGCAGGCACAGAGGGCCAACTGTGTATGTATGTATTACTTTCAGGCTGCAGCTCAAAATGTGCCCAGCAATATTAGTCCACTTACATCATTGACCATGATGGAAGCATGAATAAATATCTGTTTTAAATTCAAAAAAAATATATGAAAACTTAATGCCCAGTCCTTTAAGAATAATATTTATTATAGAAACTTTTTTTCTGAGGAACCCTCTCTTGGTTGACAAACAGTCGAGTGACTTCCAGAAGCGACGCTTGAAAAAGAAAAACCTGCTACTGTAGGATAGTAAAGCAAGTTCATAAATGACCAGGATCCTATTAAGTACGGTTTCAAGCATTTATCATAATCTTAATGTATACCCAGAAAATTTAGCACATGTACTTTATTCTTTCTAGTGCCTATCTTCAGTTGCCACAGCCCTGCAGTCTGGCTTTCTTCCATACTGTGAACCTGTGTATCAGCGTTGTGTAAACCTAGTACAGAAGACTCTTGCACAAGCCATGGTATTATTTTTCTTAAATCTTTCCTTTGTTTTAAACATTTTTCTTAAGATGGGCATAATGCATACAAACTTTTTCAGTAGTTGATTAAAAGCAAACTTTTAAAAACATTGTGTCTAATTTCAGCTGAACAATGCCCAACCTGATCAATATGAGGCTCCAGATAAAGATTTTATGATAGTGGCTCTTGATTTACTGAGTGGCCTGGCTGAAGGACTTGGAGGCAACATTGAACAACTGGTAGCCCGAAGTAACATCCTAACACTAATGTATCAGTGCATGCAGGTGAGACTTGTAAGATTAAAATGAATTCAAACCTGGTTCCCTATGTCACATTGGGGTTAATTTCTTCTTATTTCTTGTAGGATAAAATGCCAGAAGTTCGACAGAGTTCTTTTGCCCTGTTAGGGGACCTGACGAAAGCTTGCTTTCAGCATGTTAAGCCTTGTATAGGTATGAATGTTTTCTATTGCTATGAATGTGGTTTTTACACCTGATCTTAGCCTAAAAGCCAAGAAGTGATATGAATATAGTTTGTAAAAGTTATCTTTACATCAGCTTTGTTTTTTATTAAACTGAAATTGCGTGGAATCCCAGCATTTATAAACGAACATTTTAAAGTAAAGTTGCTGTGAAGCAAACAAGATGAGGGGAACACCAATTGTTTCATTGAACTCACCATCACTTCAACAGTTTTTTGGGGCACTCTAGTTCTAGAATAAAGACATGCCCACCAGTGAAGCCCAAGTATACTATATGCTACTTCGTAGATACTTTTTTTGTTTTCGAGTAGCCTCCTTTTTTGGTAGAGGTACCCCGAAATAGTAATGGTAAGGTTTTCTTCTCTAGTAAACCAGCATACTTTTTTAGATATCATAGAACATGTCCAACAAATGTCACTTTAAGAGTAAATAATAAGTTGTTACTGTTTTAATAGCATAGCATTTGCTTTGGCACTTTGTAAAAATAATAAGAGATTTCTTAAATGTTGTAACCTAAATTGCTCTCAGACCTAAGGGTTAGTTGATTTTAGGTTTATCCCATTTCTTTCTATATCTCAATGTGTTGACACAGTTGCACTTTTGAATAATTATTATTTCTGAGTAATAGTATTAATTATGATGTATTAGAAACAAAGTTTTTTTTTTTTTTTTTTTTTGAGACAGAGTCTCACTTGTTGCCCAGGCTAGAGTGAGTGCCATGACGTCAGCCTAGCTCACAGCAACCTCAAACTCCTGGGCTCAAGCGATCCTCCGTCTCAGCCTCCCGAGTAGCTGGGACTACAGGCATGCGCCACCATGGCCGGCTAATTTTTTATATATATATATCAGTTGGCCAATTAATTTATTTCTATTTATAGTAGAGACGAGGTCTCGCTCTTGCTCAGGCTGGTTTCGAACTCCTGACCTTGAGCAATCTGCCCGTCTCGGCCTCCCAGAGAGCTAGGATTACAGGCGTGAGCCACCACGCCCGGCCTAGAAACAAAGTTTTTAAGCCCAACTACTCTAAGATTGGAATTTGGGGGGCAATCTTGTCATACAAATGTTTGCCACTTAATTTATTTTAAATTTAAACTTAATATGAAAGGATTTAATGTTTTTTACTTACAAAAAAGTTTTTAAGATGTAAAAAAGTGGGGGAAAAGGTGTGATGAGCCCTCTATCACCCAGCTTCTGTTGTTATCTATACGTATCAAATCATGTTTCCTACGTAACATTATCCATGATCAGTCACATAGACAGACCCCAGATATTTTGGAGCAAATCTCAGACATATAATTTGAGCACTTGATACATACCTCTTCCTTACAATTGTATTTTGTAGTTAAACCAGATTTTTTGTCCTAAAGCATTTCCTACACTCTGGATTTTACTCATCGCATCTCTCTAGTATCATTTAACATGTTCCTCTGTCCTTTCTATTTACTATAAGTTGGCAGTTTGATATAGAGACCAAAGTTTAATGAGATTCAGGAAATTTTTTAAGACTTTATAAGGAGGTACATGGCATCTAGTTGTCTCTTATTTTTATGTTATCAACCATGGTGATTGTTATCTATATTAGTGGTTCTCAACTGAGGGCAATTGTGCCCTCCAGTGAACATTTGCCAATGGTCTGGAGACATTTTAACACTGCTACCATTTCCTAGTGGACAAAGGCAAAAGATGTTGCTAAACATCTTATAATGTAGGGGACAGCTCCTCTTCCCCCACAACAAAGATGGTTTGGCCCAAACTGTCAATATTCTTGAGATTGAGAAACCCTGGCTTATTAGATCTACTGATTTCTTAGGGGTTAAAAATTATGATACTTTGATTCTTCATTTAATAGTAAGAATATTTATATAAAGAGACATTTCCCATATCAATAAATTATAGCCCTGAGGTATAAATCAATAGAGTGAGATAATTACTTGATTCTTTCCTTTTATTTATCAATTTGTTTCGGTTTAGGTTTTTTGTGTTTTTTCATATTTTAAATCTTTTTTTTTTTCTTTCTTTTTTTCACTGTACCTAAACCCTTAACATTTCTTTTTTTGTTTTTTGACTGGCAATATGCGCTCATGATGCTCAAGTTGTACTGCTAGAAGTGGGAACTTAAGTTGGCTCCTGATTCCTTTCTGTTATGACTGGACAGTCCAGGTGTATTTGCACATTTCCTGCCTTAGTTTATAATGAGGCATTTTCTGAGAGTCTTCTCATTCATTTTAGTGGGAAATGATATTTAGAGACCACAATCTTAGCCACTAAGCTTAATGTTGCTTTAAAAGTTGAAATAATTTATTTTAAAAAAAATTCTTGGCCGGGCGAGGTAGCTCACGCCTATAATCCTAGCACTCTGGGGAGGCTGAGGCGGGCGGATTGCTCAAGGTCAGGAGTTCGAAACCACCCTGAGCAAGAGCGAGACCCCATCTCTACTATAAATAGAAACAAATTAATTGGCCAACTAATATATATAGAAAAAAATCAGCCGGGCATGGTGGCGCATGCCTATAGTCCCAGCTACTCAGGAGGCTGAGGCAGGAGGATTGCTTGAGCCCAGGAGTTTGAGGTTGCTGTGAGCTAGGCTGACGCCATGGCACTCACTCTAGCCTGGGCAACAAAGCAAGACTCTGTTTCCAAAAAAAAAAAAAATTCTATGTGTGAGAAACTAGCTTTGAAGAAAATTCCACTTTATCGTGTTTTCTCTACTTAAAATTTGAATTTCCTTAATCTGATGAGATTATTCTTACCAACTCTTTTGAGTGATACATAAAAAATATACCAGAACTTTTCTTTTCTGCATCATATGAAAGTTCAGTGGCCAGATAGTCTTTCCTTCAGTTTCTTAAGATAAATGTAACTAAGCCTTTAAAAAAATACTTTTAAATATAGTTGCCCTACTTTTCACCAGTTTTATAAATGATCCTGCAATGATTATTTTTAATGGTAAAACGTGGTATTTCTTGCCAGGATTTCAGTTTCTACCTAGTAGATTTCCTTTAAAGTATAATACAACTGCTGTTGAGAAGTTACATAGTTTAAATTTTTCTTTTTCTAGCTGATTTCATGCCAATATTGGGAACCAACCTAAATCCAGAGTTCATTTCAGTCTGCAACAATGCCACGTGGGCAATTGGAGAAATCTCCATTCAAATGGGTAAGATTTTTTTTTCCCCTTTAAAAGTATGTTTTCAGGTGCCTTGATATTTTCATAATTGCTTTTTTATGTAAATGATTTTTATCTATATATGACATGTCACAGTTATTAAGGGAAGCAAAATATATTACATTGATATTTTAACATTCAATTTTTTCTTTGTTTTTTTCTTTTTGGGATGATCTAGGTATAGAGATGCAGCCTTATATTCCTATGGTGTTGCACCAGCTTGTAGAAATCATTAACAGACCCAACACACCAAAGACGTTGTTAGAGAATACAGGTACCATATGACTGAACTGTTTCAGTGGAGAGAAAATTAATTGCCTTTTAATTTTAGATTAAGATGCGTAGAGAAACCAAAGCAAAGCTAGCTTTTAAAACTCAGCTTATTATTTATCTAGCAGCTATTTTGGATTCTCAGTAATGAAATGTACTATTTTAGCTACATTCCATAACCAGTTTTCAGTAACTTCGGAGAAACACTTTTCTCCCCAATTTCAGTGTTTTAATACTTCCTAAAATGAATCCCAGCTAAGAGAACTATTGAACTATATGAATTTTGCTTTTAAATTAACTCAGAGAGTAACTGGGGAGCTGGGAAATTATGATTTTTTTTTTAAATCTTTAAAAATGTGGTCAAAAATAAGATTGTAATCTAGTAGCTAATTGATTAACAACGGTATATGTATCTTGTATTTCATCATATATTTTCTTCAAATTGGGAACTTAAGCAGTACCTTATGGAATTTTTAATTAGGCTTGTTTCTCTTTTGCATTATTGAGAGCATGTTTATATTAAAGAATACCTTCCATACTATAGAACACATTTGGAGGTGATTGGGTTCTTTTCTTTCCACCCTCCCTGATTGATGCTAATGATGATGAAAGAATTAAATTTTGTGTACATTCAGACATATCCCTTTCTTCATATACTAAGATAATTCCAATAATTTATTCATAGTAAATGTGAGGGTCTTAACAAAATACTAGACAAAGATTAAAATAAGGTTTTCCCACTAAGAAAGTTCCTTCTCAAAGGCATTTTAATTTGGTATTTTTAAATTATAGAAAGCTTTTTATCCTAATATGATTAAAATTGATAAAAGTTTATTGGTATGGAAGGAAATCTTTTAATTTTATGAAACAATTATCTGGCTGTTTGGCTGTATGGGTACTGTTTATTTCACAAAGTGAATTAGATTTTCTTGTCTAAAAGTACAAAAACCTATGTATAGGATGGTTATGAAATCTTGTCGGGTTTTTATCTCTTCACAATGCAGTACCTATACATGACATTCAGATTTGAAAAAGTTGCCAGTATAAAATTGTTGAACCTAAAGAAACTCCTATTTATTTTTAAATGTGAATGCATAACTACAAATAAATGTTGAGTGTAATGTATATTAAAGTTTCTTGTGGGATATCATCTGATGATACAGTTCCTTTTAGTAAATTGGCTTTATAAGATTATATTCTACATATGATTATATCCTAAATAAATAATAGCTGGTAATGCCCTATAAGTTGATCAAATGAATTAATATTGAGAAACACACTTGGGATTCATTAAATTACTCTTATCACAAGTGTCTGCATGAAGTATTATTTTGTTTCTTACCCAAAAGAATGAAGTTTTTTTAATTAATAAAATCATTATCTATAGCAACTTTTAATTATCAATATTTCATAAAGCCAATTCTTTAGTATCCTGTTATTTGCTTTATTTCCAATTAGTATATCCTACACTGAACTTTTTCAATGGACCATCATCTGCTTTATCGCATGTTTCATTGGATTGTTCATACTTGCCTGTTTAATGAGAATGTTGCATAGTTTGTGTCTTTTGAACTTAGGTTTTCTTTCTCTTGCTTCATATGAATCTGCTGGATTTTAGTATTATCTGTGTAGTTTGCTTCAAGTAATCCTTAAACATTTTTCTTTACCCCCCACCCTTTTTTTATGAAAGGTTAACCTGTAAGTTTTTGAGAGAACACCATTAAAGCACCTCATGGTTTGTTTTCTGTTTGTATTTTTCCCGTTGTGTATAAATGTATTTATATGTATGTACCTTTGAATTGCAGAATGCAATTCTGAGTTGAAATTGTTTTAGCTCTTTGTAAACTTAAGGACTTCATGAATTTTGATGGTGAATGCGTGTGCCCACTTCAAAATTTTAAAAAATTAGTGTGTAATTAGTGTAATGTGTTATATCATCTATTTTGTGCTATGCCTTTTATAGCAAAGCCAGAATATTTGTTTTTTCCTGTGGTCCACATATCACATGTCAGTGCAGTGGACTATCTAAATTTCCTTTATTAGAATTTTATGTCAAGTATAGTCTGAAGTTAGTGGACTGTTAATCTGAGTTATCATCTGAGGTTTTTTGTAATGCAGTTTGACTTAATAGCTTAGCAGTTTTCCAATTTATTCTGTGGGTAACATGCCACTTAAAATCTGACAGCTGATTTTGATGATCAAGCAACAAAGATTTGTTTGGGAAAGATTAACCACCACCCCCACGCACCTCCCCCCAAAAAAACACTACCAAAATTTGGATTAGATTCTCTAATTTCCAAAGACTGGAAGTCTTTAAAATCTTATTTAAAAAAAAAAAAGATGTAGGCAAATGAGAAATTTTAACTCTTTTAGTTATAGAGAAATGTGTTCGAGTAGACAATTCAGAAATGTAATCACATTTATTGATATTTCTTGGGGGAAAAAACACAGATTTCATTATTCCAAAATTTTCACTGGCTTCTGAATGAAGATTCTCTAAATCCATCCCTTTAATTGCTCCTCTTATTAACAGAATGATATCTTGACACTTGATTGATCGAGAAAAGCAGCTTATCATGGTTTTTGGTGTTCTCTCAATCTTTAGAGTTTTTTTAATTCCTTTTGTTTTTCTTTTTCCAAGAGTATGCCATATATGTTGCTGCCCCTTATTTAGGGGGTGGTAATAAACAGCACTGGTGAAATCTTATGTTTATTATCATACACAAATTCTGTTGGTTTCTGTTTCTGAGTTATTTGTTGTTTTTTCTTTATTTTTTCTCCTTCCCCCTCATTTGCTCATGTCTTGGTTGGCGTTTGGTGGTGTATAACCGTGATTGCGTTACCTTAGCAATAACAATTGGTCGTCTTGGTTACGTTTGTCCTCAAGAGGTGGCCCCCATGCTACAGCAGTTTATAAGACCCTGGTGTGTATTATTCAATCTTTTTTTTTAATTCATTTTTCTTCACTCTTTCTTTCTCTTTCTATCTCACTTTTAGATATATTTTCAGTTGGTTACAAAAATCACAATCCTTAATCATTGCCAACCATGTGACTAATCTTGTCCTATCAGGTTTGTGAGGTTTTTCAATAGCATCGTCATGTATATTTATTTTATGTTGTGGCTAACGACTAATTGATGCATGGGATAAGATTGTCACATGCTTGCTGTGTTAAAAAGCTTGATTATACATAAAAAGCATTTAAATATCCACCAGAAAAATTAAAATGCATGCAAATTCTGTAAATTTAGGTTTTTGCATTGTTTCTTTTTTAGAATTAATTTGGAAACTTGGATTGCATTAAGAAATACATGTTTAAATTTGTTATGTATAAAAATCTTATTTGCTTGTTAATGTAGAAGTTAAACATCTATACCATAAGTCGTATAGTAATAGTTTATATTGTGGCAGTATATCCTATGTTCTGCTTCTTTCAATTGACATCATTTTTAGTAGTGTTTAATGGAATACAAGTCATAATAATACAATTTTAAAAGTTAATTTGGTAACTTACTCTTCTTGGCTCAGGCTTAATAGTTTAAATGGGAGAGTCAAATCAGTTATCCGTTTTATAGATGCAGTTTATTAAGAAAATGAATTTTACCATTTCTGCTACATTGAGATTAAAGGGGCCCAACATACAGGAAGTATGAGAAACTGAAACTTAAGCTTTCTAAAAACTCTTTTAACATAACCATTTTCTATATTGTGGTGCTTATTCCATTAAATACTGTTCATTAGTATTGTAATTGAACCTGCTTCTTTCTTAAATGCTAAACTCAATTTTATAATTCAATAGGTGCACCTCTCTGAGAAACATAAGAGACAATGAGGAAAAGGATTCTGCATTCCGTGGGATTTGTACCATGATCAGTGTGAATCCCAGTGGCGTAATCCAAGTAAGATGTTCACAAGGATTTGTTGAACTTTTAATGTTCTGATTAATAAAATTTTAAAGGGTGAAGTATCTTAAGACTTAATTATAAAAAACTTTATTCTTTCAAAAGTATTAAAAAACTAAACATTTAAAATATGTATTTCTTAATATCTTAAAATGATAATGCCTTTTTTAATTTCCTAAATCTTTTTTGACATGAAATAAAATAGTAATAGATTAGGATAGTAAGGTTATATATTCTTCTCTTGAATTAAGCCAAGGATTCTTTCATCCACATTTCAGACCTCCATGGATGTCAATTTGCTGAGTTTGAGGATATCTAAACTTAAGAGAATAACCAAATAGTAGGATACTATCTCTCTGTTACATAGAATCAAACTTAGAAATAATGAATAAAATAAAATATGAATCAGCCATTGAATTATTTGGCAATAGCATTAACCATGATTCCAGTCAAAGTTCCTGATCCAACTTAAAGGTTAGGGTTGGAGAGGGGAGTGTAAAATTGTATTTTGGGGTCTAGGCCGGGCGTGGTGGCTCACGCCTGTAATCCTAGCACTTTGGGAGGCCGAGGCGGGTGGATTGCTCAAGGTCAGGAGTTCGAAACCAGCCTGAGCGAGACCCCGTCTCTACCAAAAATAGAAATAAATTAATTGGCCAACTAATATATATAATACCAAAAATTAGCCGGGCATGGTGGTGCATGCCTGTAGTCCCAGCTACTCGGGAGGCTGAGGCAGTAGGATCGCTGAGCCCCGGAGATTGAGGTTGCTGTGAGCCAGGCTGACGCCATGGCACTCACTCTAGCCTGGGCAACAAAGTGAGACTCTGTCTCAAAAAAAAAAAAAAAAAAAATTGTATTTTGGGGTCTAGGGTTGTACGTTCAAGGGATAAAGTTACAAAGAAATGCTTTTATAGCAATAACTTTCTCACCTTTATTTTCAAGAAAATAAAATCTTTCACTTCCAAGGAGGTTTGAACATTCTAAATAGAGACTTTTTGATATTTCCTATCTTATAGTAAGGTTTTTGTTAACTCTGTTTTAGAAACATGAATTATCAGCTTGTAAAATTCAAGTTGATCTGGATGAAAACATATACAAATTAGAACTGGAAAAATCTTAACTAATTTCACATTCATAAAATGTTAATAACTTACTATTAGAACAAGCCAATACTACCTTGAGAGAAGATCCATAGTTGCAAAATAACGTCCTAGCATTGTCTGTTTTTCAATACTTAGGAACTTAAGTGTCACATCAAATGTGTTTTAGAGGTATCTGATATGACATGTACTATATTTTTAAAAAGCATCTTCCCACCAGGATTTTATTGGTTTTTTTTTTTTCTTTTTGAATTAACATTTGTAAGACAATAAAAGTAGTATATAATGTGGCAAAATCACTTCCTACTTTGAGTTGGTAGAAATTTCTATTTTTTAACTTTTATTCACATGCTTTATTTGGATATAGTTAAAAGAAAATGTCACAAGTTTTATCTTTTTTTTTTTTTTTTTTTTTTTTTTTTTTGAGACAGAGTCTCACTCTGTTGCCCGGGCTAGAATGTCATGGTGTCTGCCTACCTCATAGCAACCTCAGATTCCTAGGTTCAAGCAATCTTCCTGCCTGAGCCTCCAGAGGAGCTAGGACTACCATGCACCACCATGATACTGGCTAATTTTTTCTATATATATTTTTAGTTGTCCAGCTAATTTCTTTCTATTTTTTTTAGTGGAGACAGGGTATCGTTCATGCTCAGGCCGGTCTAAAACTCCTGACCTTAAGCCATCTTCCTGCCTCAGCCTCTCAGAGTACTAGGATTATAGGTGTAAGCCACCAGGCCTGGCCATCTTTTAATTTTTTAATCTCACATTCTAGGCATCTGTATTTAAATTTTTAGCATCAGATCTTGATACCTGGAAGATACAAGGAATCTTTTTGTTTCATTTTTAGAGAAAAGGTCTCACTCTGTTCCAGAGGCTGGGGTGGAGTAGCACCATCGTAGCTCACTGTAGCCTTGAATTTTTGGACTCAAGTGATTCTCCTTGCCTTGGCCTCCCATGTAGCTAGGACTATAGGTGCACACTACCATGCCTAGCCTTTGTTTTGTTTTTGGTTTTTTTCTCCTGTAGAGACAGGATCTTGCCCACACTGGTCTCAAACTCCTGGCCTTAAGTGATCCTTCCACCTTGGGCCTCCCAAAATGCTACTGTGCCCAGCCAGGAATGATAATTTAAATAAACTGTGAAATTTAAGCACATTTTATTTGCTTAAATAAATGTTTTATACACATACTTTATTTAATATTAGTAATTTTTTTAAATTAGCGAAGTTCTCTGAATTTAATAGTAAAATTTAGAGTAGTTCACATGTCACAATATCTGCAGTATGTTGAATGTTGGATAGTGAACCGCCTGTTTCAGGACAGTAATCCAGATTGAGAAAATATTTTTATGAATATGTAAAGCATATTGTCACCTTATTCTTGTCCAGATAACCTGATTATCTTAAGTAATTGAGAGTTGGGTTCTTTGTTCTTGTTTGGATTGAGTGTTTGTAATTGCATAATTAGTTTTTCTTCCAACTTTTGGGCATTTCGCTTAAGTTTCTATCTGAAGATGGGTCTTAAAATTTAGTTCTATTAACTTCTATATTTCAAATCAAGCTTATTTGATATATATTTAACTAGCTTTAAGTTATTTCTAGACTAGTCAAAACAGTAAGGTTTTTGAATTTATATTTTTCTTAATTCAGTAAATGAAGAGGTCTTCTTGGTGTTCATTTTGATGATTTCAATCCATTTCTGATGCTAAATGTTTATTGGATGGCAGTTTTGATGTGTGAGATAAAATACAACAGGCATTAGATTCAAATATAAAGTGAATGAGTTAGAGCTTCTTTAATGGTGGGCTAATAGGGACAGCCATTAAATAATCACTTCAAATTCCTTATATCATGATTGATTTTTAAATGTTTTCCCTTTTTTAGTTGGGATTATATTGTGGCACAAATTCTGAGGTCTACAACATATCTTTTGCTGAGTTTGACAAACATTATCAATCTAATATGTATTTCTTGCTTGTTACAGGATTTTATATTTTTTTGTGATGCAGTTGCATCATGGATTAACCCAAAAGATGATCTCAGAGACATGTTCTGTAAGGTAACTAATAAATCTTTATGATGTATCATCCTGGAACTATTAAAGTTGTAGTTGAAAAGTTTAAATTATTTTTACATTTCATGTGAAACTTGGGCTCTTCAAATTAGTATTGAAGATTATATATAACCTTTCTTCTTTTTAACAAAGTTGACTTGTTCTTAAGATATAGCAGTGACTCTACCAATAGAGCATGCACTTTGGAAATATTTTCCCAATAATGCCACTAATTCATGTGATCCCATTGTTTCACTCATGGAAAATAGCGTATGTTTTTCAAGGCGGATAACTGAGATTTGGATTGGACTATGATCTGAAACTATTGAGCAGAGTGTAAATCTAAGTGGCTTCCACAGGGATTAAGCTTACATCGTTTTTTGCTTTATTAGTACCCACTTTTGGTTAACTCCAGTCAGCACTCAACTGTAACATAGTAAAAACTAAAATACAATTACACATTTGAATTACCTAATATTAAAATTAGCAAACTACAATTGAGGCCAGGAACCCAAAGCATGTGTATTTCCAGTTTAAAATGACATAATATGACAAAACTTTATTCCTTGGATGAATTCTGTACTTTGTTTTTCATTGGTATGATATCAGAAATTGCTTAGAGTACATCGGTTACTAGGACACTTGTTGAATCCTAAAGCATATGTTATGAGGTACTTTTAGGAGGGTCATGGAATGGTGTAGAATCCCACAAAGGTTGAGAATAACTACTTTAAAATGGGTACGATTGTGAAATAATAGTGTTGGACTTCAGAAGCTGTGCAGATCTGAGGTCTTCTCTTTCGTTGTTAATAAATTAATGGTTTTTCACTCTTTGCAGATCCTTCATGGATTTAAAAATCAAGTTGGGGATGAAAATTGGAGGCGTTTCTCTGACCAGTTTCCTCTTCCATTAAAAGAGCGTCTTGCAGCTTTTTATGGTGTTTAATCTAATACACTTAAGCTGCAGTCCCAAAATTAGGGGTAAGTTATAAGAAGTTTAGAAATTTGCTGATGAAGAAAATTTGGTTAGGACTGTAATCTCAAACTGCTGAATAGAACTAAAAGCTATTTGTTTTCTATGGGGTTGAATAAAACCTAGTCTCATTATTATGCTATATTGAAGTTTAAATTTAAAATTACCTAAGTGAAGGCTAGAGAATTTTTTTTAAAGAACCAAAAAGCCAAAATAAAATGAATGGCTCCACTTTGAAGCATGAATTTATAGTCTCTTATATAAGAACTTTCTATATTATGAGCTTTAAGGAAAACACAAGTAAAATTGAAACTGGATTTTGACTCAGTATTTTTCAACATATTTTCCTGAGTTCAGCACTGTGTTTAAAAACAGTTCATGGAAGATTCTATTTGGATTTCGAGTGACTGTATGCCCATTTGGACTCTGGCTCCTTGAACTTTTCTTTACTTAAATGGGACTAACAATTCTGATCTCTTAGCTACAGTTTCCTCGTTGAGTTATGTTGACAGTGAAATATCATGCTATATATGAGCTAGACACAGTGATGCACACCTATAGTCCTAACTACTCTGGAGGATAAGGAGGATGGTCACTTAAGCAGAGAAGTTTGGGATCAGTCTGGGTCACGTAGCAAAAGTCCGTCTCAAAAAAAAAAAGAAAAGAAAGAAGAGAATACTATACTGTGTGTGATGCCAGCACTTTTTTATATATTGCTTGGCCCACTAAGTTGGCTCAGTAAATGTTAGGAACATGGGAAGTACAGTAAAACCAAGATTTTGACTTTCTTCTTTAGGTTTTGAACACGAATTGAGACATATATGACTGGAAGTCAGAGGATGTGCTGAATGTGTATGCAAAAGGTGTACACCAAATTGAATTATACTTTACATTGAATTGGAGTTTTTGTTTGCTTGCTTGCTTATTTACTCTGAGCTAGATTTTAAGCCTGGAAAGATTTCACCATCCAAGATTCAGTTTATGTTACATTATGAGAATACAATAGACAAGAATGACTTTTAACTTCAGAGATTCAATAGTGAGCTACTGGTAGTACTCTGAGACTTAATTACCTCTGTTCTCATCACCAGTTATGAATGGTTTTAAGACAAGATATGAAATAAATTCTCAGTTTTCTAATTAGACATAATATGGATCCATGCCCTTTATTCCTGCCTTTTTGTACTCCTTTTCCTTGTTTCAGAGGCAGAAGCAAAAGGGGTTGCTTGTACTTCTCCACAGATGAACTAATCATTCTCTGTGAATTCCCATCAGCATTCATAAATGTCCAAAGTTTGACATGAGTTGGGTAGTAGAGTTTTGTTGTAAAAGGACCACTATCAGGTAATAGTTTAAATCTCCCAGTAATCTTACCTTATTTATTAATGTCCTTTTTATCATTAAAAAAATATGTCCTTATCAGGTGACCCTGAGATATAGAAATGACCAAATGAAATAGAGTCAGAATAATAACTAATTAGGAACATTGAGAAGGCAGGTATTAAATTTTACTTTTTGTTATTTACTGAATGTGACGACCCTACCGTGGTAATAAACATTTCGAGTACCTCCTAGACAACATCAGACAACCAAAAATAATTTAATTCTTTATTTTTTATTAGATTTGTTTGCTTAATATTGGGAATACTAGGGAAAAGGATATTTCAATTCTTACTAAGGAAAGTGCTTGTCCTAAAGAAAGTGCTATTTAATTATGAGGAAAGTAAGGCAACTTGTTATGTAAGAAATAATCAGTTTTTATTGGGTCCCATTTTGCAAAGTGGGCAAAAAATTAGACTGATAGCATCATGCAAGGCACATTTCATCTATACAAAGTGCAGCATGCCTTTCTGTGTGTGTTCCAAGGCTCACTTCTCATATTGGATGTAGGTGACAATTCAGAGCCATAGGAGAAGGAAGAAACATGGTTATAATTGATGAGCAATGATCTTAGGCAATTTGTCCAGTTTCTCATATTTTTTATAGGTAAAAATAGCATTATTATTTGATTAATTTTGTGTTCCACCAATTTTGAAAGACAGTTGTTAAAGATAAAATTGCTTCTTTTGTTCTTTTTCTTACAGGTCCTTCGGTCTTGGAGACTATGAGGGAGCCTCTGCACCCAGGGAAAATGTTACCCTTTACAGGGGGGAAGGGTAAACCAGTAGGGAATACAGTACAATCCCAACCCTACTGGGAGGGGCGGGAGGGAGGTGTTGCCGTCACTGTATTAAGTCGATGTTGGGAAACGTTTTAACATCTGGAGCTTTTGTGGGTGGAAATCTGTCTCCAATTACAACTCCACACTGGATGTGAAGAAGCAAAAAATCTGTTCAGTCTGCTCACAAAACAGTACATTCTGGAATATTATGGGGAATTGTACCAAAACAAGAACCATATAAGTGATGCATAGGGATAAGAAAGAGGAAAAATTCCTTAGTGCACAATAAAGGAAACTTAAGGGGGTTACAAACAGTAAAGAAGCTTTTTTTTTTTTTTTAATTTAAAGATTTTTTATATAAATTTTCCCACATGATGGGGCCTTGTTTTGCATGCTGATGAAGAACTACACAAACAAAACTAATAGAGTTAAAATCAGCTTGCCTTTCCATAGTAGAAGCGGGTTCTTGGAAGTTACAGTTTAAGGTACCCCCCAAAAAAGTTGGAAATAAAACAAAGCAAATTTAAACAATGAAGCACCCTGTGAAATGCCAAATGAGTCACTCCTTTTACCTTTGTGGGGTGGGCAGGGAGGGAAGGATAAATGGGGTTGGGCATATCAAACTAAAGATGACATCTTAATTTTACATTAAACATTAATGTAGTGGATATAATTTGATGGTTGTACTTCATTAGATTTAATTTCTAGGCCAAGATGTTATTTTTAAAGTGCAGTTTAAGGTTCAGGCATGCATTCTGGTTCATAGTGATCGAAAGTAATTTAAATTAGTGGGAAAGTAGCATGCTTGTATCACATAGAGTGAGGTTGGTATTCATTTACCTATGTTGCGCCAGTTTGTGTTGCAGTTTACCAATTCAATAGCCCTGCATTTAAAATTCCTTTTTAAGATTTGTGGATTTTATTTTTTATTAAGAATATAGATATATAAAGTACTGTAGTTTACAGCTAGGCCTTGAAATATCTTTTTTAGGATCTGTTAGGAATAAGATTGATATTGTATTGTGTGTAACCTGCACAATGTGGAAAGCTGATATACCTGTGCAAAATCTTTGCCTCTGTGCTGTCAGTGTGATGTGCTTTCTGCATGGTTATATACTACTAGTGATTTTTATCAAAACTTCTAAAATTTAAATTACATGGTAAAAGATCTGTAAAAAAGGCTGCATAAATGTTAGTTGACACATAAAGACAATTGTAGAAGTTGACAAATGATTGCTATATTTCAATGTTTATTCCCACTCAACATATTGCCTTCTAAGCTTTCTTTTTTTTTTCTTTCTTTTTTTTTTTTTTTTTGTTCAAAGCATGATCTTAAAGATATGTTTAAGTTAATGGATGTAATGCAGGGTTCCTACACTGTATTGGCGCATGTTGGTGGCCCTCTGTGCCCTAGATATATGCACACAGGGTGCAAGTTGAAAGCTACAGAGTGAAAGTTGGTTTGGATCCTCTTCATTTCATTTGTTTAGCTTTTCTGTTATTTTTCTCTACTTACATGTATTCCTGTGAATAAATCCTTGTTAAGTTAACCCTTTACTTTTCCTTTCATGTGTATTTTCTTATATACTGTGAATGTGAAACCTAACTGGTACACTTGATCTTGTGTCCATATGAAAGTGCAAGTCTTTATTAATTTGGATTGCCTGAACAGTGTATCCCATGATGATGAAGGAAAATGGAGAGATTTTTCTTTTTAACTCTGCTGGTCAGAGATGAAGCCACGCCTTTCCATTTTTCAATGCTGCATATTTAATCTGCAACAAAAATGTTAAGCCATAACAGCCTTTTTATATTTTAGTTTGTCACCTTTGCATTGCAGAATAAATACTGAATAACCATTTTTATAAGCAGTTGCTCCTCTTTGCATGGTTCTATTCTCTAAAAGTGTTGAATGATACAGCCATTGCACTGAAGTTTGAGCTGTGTGGGTGTGAATTTATAAGTACTGTTTAAAAAATTTGAAATGCATGGTAGCATGCAGAAAGGTTTTTGTTATTTTGTGTGTGTGCGTGTGTTTTTTGGTTTTTTGGTTTTTTTTAACATGTTCTTTTACCTTCTTTCCTCTACTTTGGCTTTGCAAATTTCGGTCTGTAGAGCCGAAATTTTTAATTAAAAAATTAAATTATTTTATAATGCCCAATTTTTTAAAAAGTATAAGTTCAATTTAAATAGTATGTGGCATTTTGCTTTCTAGTATCATTGCTTCACTGGAAGCTCAAAAATTGGTTCCTATTTAATTTTTGATAACTGAGTTAGGGTAACTATTTTATTCTTAAATTACAGTGATATCCTGTAGCGCTTCAAATACTTTTTAGACTTTAATAAGGCATATTTTAATATTCTGGAATAGGTAATATTTTAAATTGAAAGAAATGGCCAAATTTTTCTCTCAACACAGTAAAACAAATATGAACAACCTTTAGTAAAGTTATATGGACCCGTGATTGACAATTTTATATTGACTTAAAGCAATATTGTCACCTGTCTGGTTGAAAATCAGTTTCCAATTAGGCAGATGAATAACACTATAAGGATGTGCTTTTAAATTTTAAAGGAGATTTAATTTTTAAAAAGAAAATAAAATTAATATGACTGGCACCCTGAGATTGGGTTGGGTTTTTTGTGGTGTTTTTTTGTTTTTTTTTTTTTGTATTTTCCCCCTTTGAGGTTATTGTTTTCTTCCTAATTTATATTTCAGATACATAGTGTAGCATAGGAATTTGCAGAAGCCATTTAAGTTATCTTTTGAGGTAAGCTCCGATTTAGCATTTAACCTGATAAAACCTAATACATCATGGGATATATATATATATAAAGCAACTTAATTTTTGTGGTGTAGTCTTAATAGTTTTGAATGTTGACTGAATGTCTATGAAATTGTGAGTTTGTCTTTGTTACATTCCAGTGTTTCTGCCTCTTGGCATGCTTAAAGCACGGCTTACTTCATCTGCTCCTTACACACTAAAATGCTGTTAGTGTGCTCAACTACGGAAATAGCCGCTGCTAAGTGATGTAGATTTTCTACTTGAATATTTTTATGTTGTAGGAACCTCAGGAGGTCAGTGTTTACTGTTTTATATATGCCTTCTTTTTCCTGTTTGAGCTTCTCTCTTTGAAGGATTCTAACAGAATAAAAGCTGCTGATCAACCTAAGTTGGAAACAGAAAGTATATTTAATTTAAATGCATGTTTGGCAGTTCCATGTTACAGTCCATTAGCAAGGAAGCTTTGTGCCACAAGTATCATTTATTCAAGAAAGAATTTTGCTTTTTGTATTGTCTAATCTCTCTAATGACTTCATACTGTGTAAAAAAAATCACTTTTTAAATATTTTTGATTGGTTATTTCCCAAATAATCAACATGTAAATAATCTTTAAGAGCCAGTTCTGATGCTTTACATTATTGCTACTTGATTTTGTTATGCAAGTTAGATTTCAGAAGAAATATATTTTAGAACACTTAACGAAGCCATTACATCTTTAAAACAAAACAAGTAGCATATAATTTGTAATTAACGTATTGATGAACACTGTGATTTTTTTTTTTAGTTAAAATTTTTTCATTGATCTGAATTGCTTAAATTGCATATATTGTAAAATAGGATCAGATGTATATTTTAAACTAATTTCAGCTGACTTTCCTCTTGAAATGCTTTGTCTACTCAGTTATAAAGTATTCAGATACAAGTTTTATCTCAGGTGAATACTACTATATTGCTTTTGCTTTGGTGATATATGCTTACAAAGGGTCATCATACTTAAATTCTTTGTTTTTTAATGTATTCATTGAGACTCTTCTCTTTCTCATTTTTCCTATCATTCTAGCAGACGGGTGGTATAAAGCCAGCCTCACAAGACTTTTGCATGCAGGTATACCTGAAAATGGGTTAAATTTGGTCCTCATTTTCTCTAAATCCTCAAAATAGGAAAGTGGAAAATTACTCCCCTATATAAAATCCTGCATAGCAGAAATGCCAGAATTAAATTAATTATGTCGTAAACCTTTAAGTCTAAATTTAAGCCCTTTGCCATGAAAAGGCAGGAAAAAGTGGTTTTTTGCTTCATATAGTTATTCTGTATTATTCATATTGAATGTATTAACAGATAATGGTGCAAAAACATTCTTCCCAAGAGAAGAGTGTATCATGCATAACTGCAGTTTAAATCCTTCCTTTGGTAGTACTTTAAAACACACAGCTTTGCTTATTGAATTATTTTTGCAAATAATACAAAAGGGGAAAACACTAACTGTTGCTACTAGTACTGTTAATGAAGTGTAGGCCTTGGAACCTTTAAGAAAAATGGTCTTCAGATAGTTATGGGCTTGGGATAATTTAGGTCAAAAATCAGATCACTAATGAGCTGTGTTGTTAACAATATTATCTGGTAATAATACCATGCAATATAGCATTGTATACCAACTTAGTGCATTTCATACTGTATTAAATATGGAGATACTTCTAACGTTTCTTTAAAATTTTTACATAAAAGGTAGTTTTATTCACCTGTACACTTTCCAGGTGACTTGTGACTAATTTTTTCAGTCTTATATAGATCTTTCCTCCATTGGCATTACTTATGTGTAGATTTATTCCTAATTATTATACATATAAATTTTTAAGGTATACATTTAAATTACAGCAACTGTTTGTGGTTTGTATCCCAGAATGTATTGTGTTTTTTTTAAAAAGATGCATAATAGTTGAATGTATGCATGATTTTGAGAGTTTTTTTTCCTCCTCTCGTATATTTTAAAACCAAGCCAAATCTTTTTGCCAAGCAGTATATCACTAATTAGAAAACCAGTAGTAGTCTTCCTTTTATTACAGTTTTTGTTTATCCACTATAGAATCCCCTATACTGTGGCTTGGTATTATACAGGATTAGATATTTTATAGGTCTTATATCTTTCTAAAAGCCTACTATATAACATGGTTAGCCTATAAGGCAATGTTGGTCCCCTTCTCATATTAGCCTCATAAAGAGGTTCCGAATGCTGTACTTTCCTCATAATACTTTGTTGTTTTCCTTTGTGAATATATAACTAAATTGAGCTTCGGTGATTTTTTATGGAGATAATAATTAGACAATACTGTGTAATTTTACTTAATAGATTATCATCTTGTGAGAAGAGATGTTTAAATGTGGTAAATGACTTCACTTCATATTATGAAACAGTTTTACACATATGTTAACATTGGGTGCAATAATTTAGTAGTTTTAGCTTTAGTTATAAATAACTGGATCTTTCTGCTGACAACTTAGGTTGTATGAGTTACGCTTAAAAGCTTTAAATCTGATGTTTCCTGTATCTGCCACACTATGTTAGAATGTGTCCTTCAAACATATCCTCCTGCAACTTCTCAAACTGTACTAAATTGATATTTCTTGAAGTCTAACTCTGTGCTAACAGATCTTCATTTTAAATAGAATACGGTTTTAATTTTTGATAAGCTGCTGAATTTTAAAGAGAGTTTTTTGGGGCCACCAAATATTTTGGATCATGCAGAGAATATATATTGTACTGTAGTAATTTTGTATTTACATTTGTATGATGTGACATAATAGATGTGAATGTTAATCACTGCTTGACTATGTTAATAAAGTTGTTTAACTATAGATGTTGCACTCTGATTTTTAATGAAAGGAAATGAGCTTACTTTCTCCCCCTCCCCCTTTTTGGGTCCAGGTGGATTTTGTGGGTTTTTGTTTGTTTGTTTGAGGTTTTTCCCCCTTAGCTTACACATTAGTACACTCTTGTTTAACATCACTTATTCTTTAAACCCAGTATTTGCTTATTTTGTATAGTGTAGTAAAAACCTATTTTCCCTTCATTTTAACTTCTATTGATAAATTTTAAACAGTTGATTCTAGGTTCAGCTATTTGAGAATGGGGAGGTACTACCAAAACAATGATGAAGTTGTGAATATAAAACATTGATAGATTGCATGAGTGTGTATGAATGTATGTCCTATTAAGGCTTCCTGTTTATCCTTCAAAAATTAAGACTTGTAATTTTGGAAATTAACATTTATAAAGTAGTTTCCTCTTCAGGTTTTAATCTATTAATATAGTTGCATGATACTAATTAAAATTAGATGTATTTATATATTTCAGGGAAACGTGTACATAGCTGTCAAATAGTCTTTGTAGTCTTTTGAAATTTAGAACATTGTAGACCAAGAAAGAATGTAAGATTAGATTAGTGCAGCCCAAAAGCTTTTAAAAGAAGTGAGTCTTGTGTTTCTTTTCATTGGTTACCTGCATGTGAAAATATTTGAGGTATCTCCATTGTGTTGACAAGAAAAGAAACTTGGAACTTGGGGATTGTTCTGAAATACATCATCAAAAGAAAATTTTGTGATACCAGAATTTAGGACTTAGATTGTGGGATAAGATAATTAAAATCAGTGTAATCTTTTGTTTAAGATTCTAATTTAAAGAATCTTAAATTGTGCCTGAAGCCAAAAATCTTTTCTGGGGTAAGTCTTTAATGTTTTAGTTTCACTAAAACTGAAGTCCTATCAGTTATATGTAGATGATCATTCTTTTCCCCCTGGTTCAAATGATTAAACTCTTTTGAGACAGGATCCCACTCTCTCCTGCCCAGGCTAGAGTGCAGTGGCATCATCATAGCTCACTGCAGCCTCAAATTCCTGAGCTCAAGCAATCCTCTCTCAGCCACTTGAATAGCTGGGGGACTACAGGTGTGCACCGCCATGCCTGGCTTTTTTTTCCCCCCACCCTCCAGAGATGGGGTCTTGGTATTTCCCAACCTGTCTTAAGCTCCTGGCCTCAAGCAGTCCTCCTGTCTTGGCCTCCCGAGGTGCTGGGATAATAGATGTGAGCCACTGCCCAACTAAACCATCTTAATGATAAATGAGTAAGGCTGGCTTAATTTTTGAACTGACAGCCATTTTTATAGTAAAGTCATAATCTGAGTCCAACAATTTACATTTCATGTGATTCTTTAGGGCTGACTAGAAAAGTGGCAGTTGGGACTACACAGCTCTGAATTTGGATTTCCTTTGTACTATGTAGTGGACTGTGGGAATTGCTGAGGCTCTCATTTTTTTAATCCTTAATCTCAGAATCAGTGTTAACTTGATGTGAAAGTTGAAGAAACATCTCCAGTATTCAATTAGATACAACTTGTCAATCACAATTTGAAAATGTAATGCAATTTCTAAATCATTGATAAGAATCATACAGATAATTGTTATACTAGGAAACTTTAGGTTTTTGTGCCAGTCATTAATGAAATTTATTCATATGCATATTATAGCAATTTTATTCTGATGACTTAAATTTTTAAGTATTCCTTTTCAAGCTTTATGTTGCTTTTTGAAGAACTTCCTTTACTTAGCAACTTAAGAAAGGCAAGTAACAATTTTAAATGAGTTTTAATACAACTACCCAGTGTTACAACTACTGTTAATATTTCTGTGGACATATAGTGTATTTGTGGGGCTTTTAGTTATACTGTATCCGAATTTTCTGGTTAATAAATATATATTGACATCCTATGTAGTAATCGCTAAACAATTTACACAATTGTCTAACTATTGTTTGACATTCAGAAGTTATTTTTAATTTTTCACTCTTTGAAATAAAGTTGTGGTGGGTGTCCCCATGCTTGAATGTTTGCATACATCTGCAGTGATTTCTTAGTGGAATTGCCGGGTCAAAGGAGTTGGTATGGTATAGTCAAATTACCTTTCAGTTACACTAATTTTCATGTTCAACACCAACTTCAGTGGGTGCTGCCATGTATGCTGTAAGTTTTGATACAGCATAATTTTCTAACTTAGGTTTCTTATGTGAAATCTATGTTTTCGTATTACATATTCTACAGTTACCTTAGTCTCATAATACAGGCACTGTTGCCTGGTCTCATGAAGCTTACGTTCTATTGTAGGGAGACAGATAAGTAAAATAGTGTGTTACATGGTGGCAAGTGCCAGTGAGGAAAAAAGCAGGAGATGGAAGGTGGTGGTGGTAATGGGAGAGGCGTGCTATTTCAAATGGGGTTAGGAGGTAGAAGGTCTGAAGGGGGTCAAATTTGAGTAAAAACCTGAAGGAGTGAGCCTGTGGATGTCTGGGGGATAGTAGTATAGATAAGGAGAACAATAAAGACAAATGTTCTTGAGACAGTAATAGGTTTGATATGTATTAAAATGAGAAGGATATAAGTTGAACACCCAGAGCAAGGGAGAAGAGTAGATTAGATTTAAGAAGTAACAAGGACAGATGGTATTGGCCAGTATTACACTAGAATGTAAGGGGCCATTGTAGGGGTTTGGGGTGATAACTGATTAGGAACAGACTATATAGCTTGCTATTATGAACAATGGAGAGGTCACTGATGTCTTGAATTAGGGTGATAGTGGGGAAGGTGAAAAGTGGCTGGATATATTTTAAGGAGGAAACAGATTTGCCAGCATACTGGGTATAGGTTATGAGGGAAGAATCACACATGGCTTTTAAAACACTTGGCCTGACTGGAGCAGCTGGAAGGGTGGAATTGTCATTAACCAGAATAGGAAAGGTCTGGCATTTGGTTTGAGCCATCCATGAGTAGAGTGAGCAGTTCTGGAGTTTGGGAAGATAAGCAGGCTGAAAGTCAAAAACTGGAAGTTGGTGTATAAATGGTGTTTCCAGCTAGGAAACAACATCTGAAGATTGAAGAAATAATGATGGCAGGGACTAAATCTGAAATGTTCCAACATTAAGGTCTAAGATTTGAGTAAAGAAAACCAAAGGAGCATGGTATTCTGATGTATGGATTGTCTGGACTGATAATTTACTTTGCATTTAACAATGCAAAAGCCATAGATTTTGGCAAATTGTTGTATGGCTATAGAAAAAGCAAAATGAGTGCACTCTCATTCCTCCAAGAGTTTGGGAGCTTGGGCTTCCATTTTCTTCAAGGCAAAGTTAAATGGCTTTGTTTTCTTAAAAACTGAATTGTTAAGGAAATTTGGAAGCTGGTGAAGAGTGAGCAGGCCAGAGCGGCCTGAGATAGATCACTTCCCTAAAGAGTAGTTACCAGCTTGTAATGTCTAAAAATTATTTAAGTAATTTTGGCTACAGATATTAAAAACTAATGCATGCATAGGCAGCTTAAAAGAGCTACGTCCTGAAACATAGAAATGCACGTGAAACTAGAGTATTTCATTTAATGAAAAAAGATGGATTATTTGACAAGTGTGAAAACTGGGTGGAGATAACTTGCAAAGAATATTGGATTCCTATCACTGTGTACCAGAATTCTAGATGGCTGAAAGAATTAAAAGTATATTAAACGTTAAAATTGTGTTTTAAATATAATCTTAGCATGGGGTAGGCATTTCTAGATATGAGAAAAAAACCATAAATCTTGAAAGAAAAGGTTGACTTTAAAAGAAAAAAAATCACCAAAAGTTCTGCATGACAGTCTGAAACCTTGGGGGAAATTTGGCAGTCCCCTTTTACAGAAAACGATTGCTTCCCTAAGTTACAAAGTACTACAAGTCAGTAAGACAACCCAAGAGAAAAATAGGCAAAGGATATGAACAGCCCATAGAGGACAATTTGTTGGGTTTTTTTGTTGTTTTTCTTGTGATTTTTTTTTTTTTTGAGACAGAGTCTCACTTTATTGCCCAGGCTAGAGTGAGTGTCGTGGCGTCAGCCTAGCTCATAGCAACCTCAAACTCCTGGGCTCAGGCGATCCTCCTGTCTCAGCCTCCCAAGTAGCTGGGACTACAGGCATGTGCCACCATGCCCGGCTAATTTTTTATATATATATTAGATAGCTAATTAATTTCTTTGTATTTATAATAGAGACAGGGTCTCGCTCTTGCTCAGGCTGATCTCGAACTCCTGAGCTCAAACGATCCATCCACCTCGCCTCCCAAAGAGCTAGGATTACAGGCGTGAGCCACCACGCCCGGCCAAGACAATTTGTGTTAAAGATAATTAAAATCTAACTATAGTTAGATCACTTACACATACTGGCGAAGGTCAAAAAGGCTTGGTGACATGCTCTCACCTAGGGAATACAGAAATGGGCATTCATACATTGCTGGTGGGAGTAAATTAGTACAACATAAAAGGCAATTTAGAAATTATCAAGATTACATATTTATATGTATGTATATATCCATTTACCTACAATTTATCCCTTAAGTACTTACCCTACATGCTAGCTCATAAACAAATGGAAAGGTCTGAATTGGTAAAATTTGTAAACTCCAGTGATACCAATTGTTTAAAAATGCATAATGGGCCCAGCGTGGTGGCTCACACCCGTAATCCTAGCACTCTGGGAGGCTGAGCCGGGCAGATCGCTTGAGGTCGGGAGTTCGAAACCAGCCTGAGCAAGAGCCAGACCCTGTCTCTACTATAAATAGAAAGAAATTAATTGGCCAACTAATATATAGAGAAAAAATGAGCCGGGCATGGTTGTACATGCCTGTAGTCCCAGCTACTTGGAAGGCTGAAGCAGCAGGATTGCTTGAACTCAGGAGTTTGAGGTTGCTGTGAGCTAGGCTGACGCCACGGTACTCAATCTAGCCTAGGCAACAAAGCGAGACTCTGTCTCAAAAAAATAAAAATGCATAATGGAGGCTGGGCACGG